CCCCCCCCCCCCCCCCCCCACCCCCCCCCCCCCCCCCCCCCCCCCCCCCCCCCCCCCCGCCGGGGGGCGGGCGCCCCCCAGTGAATAGGAGGGGGAAAGGATGAATACCTGAAACAATGAAAAGATGGAAAGCCGAAAGGATGAAAAGTTTCAGAAACGCATATAAGGTGCTAGATAATTTTTATTATTTTCGAAAAGCTAAAAGATAACTAGGTTTAGAGAAATTTTGGAAAAAATTTCGACAATATTCCAAAACAGAATATTCTCCCATCCCTCCCCTAACGCTAAGTAAATATAACAGGTAAAAAACTTACATAAAATGTTTTAATTTTGGTATATAAACCATCTGGTATTAAACTATTTTGTGATAATCCGTTTATATCTAATAACTGAATACTATGATCGTCCAATAATAAGAGTAGATAACATTGTCTTTCATCAGTGAGCATTGTCTTTGTATTTATAAGTTCAGCATTAAGAACGTTGGATAAAAATTGAATTGATACTGTTTTATGTTCATTAAGTTTGATCATTTCAAATTGATTATAGTTCCTTATTGTGACTAAAACATCACTAGTCTCATTTACACACCAGACAATATCTGACATATGATTTGATAATGTTTCTAACAACTGAAAATTAGTATCAAATATTTTAATATTATTAGTAAAGGAAATAAATATTTTGTTTTGTCTACATTGTAATTTTTCAACATAATCTTCGATCTTATCATCACAAATCTTATATTGATATTCATTATCAAGTGATATACTTTTTTGTTGACCTTTTTCGGTTAAAATTTTTTGAATATTTAAGATCCAAACTATTCCATCTTCTGTTGATAGATAAAGAATTTGTTCGGGTGTTAAATCGAATGTATCCGGAGAAGTGACACCGTTATAATAGTAGGAAACATACAATGGTAAGATTTCAATATGCTCGTACAATGCCAAGAGAGTAATGGAACCTCTAGCTTTTGCTGAATCAAATACAAGACACAATACATAGTCACCAACACATCGAACAGACACTAATGCATTGTCAGATGAATTCAATGGCAATCGACCGGTCTAAAATAGACTTGCACGCTTAATATTTTGACTTTAACAAACGTATTGTACAAATAAAAATATACAAACCTTGTTAAAGGTACCCTCAGCATCTTCAATCATTATAATACGCTTTTCATTAGCGACAATAAACCGCCTGAAAAAAATATACACGCTATGTCAATAAACAATACATATTTATTAACAACAAACCAACATTTAGATAAATGTATGAACATCAAATAAATCAAGTCACGTTAGTGAAATGCAGTTTATAAAAAAAATGTCATGTTGTATAGTATTAGGCATGCACCAATTAAAAACTGGTGTTAAAGCATCCAGGAAAATTGTTATAATTCGGTTATGAAGAATTACAAAGAGTTGGGGAACGTCTCATTTTTCTAGAAAAAGGTTTGCTCTGTAAAATTCACTTGTCAAAAAAAGAAATTTAAACTTATTTCTAGAAAAATATGAACTCTTAATAATTCTTCATAACCGAATTATAACAATTTTTTTGAATGCCCTAAACACCAGTTTTTAACTGGTGCATACCTATATAGCATACGTCCAGAAATCTTACTCTTCATTGGGTATCATACAAAATGCTTTATTTATATATGATTTTGTATCCCATGTTAGGATCCTTTCATACAATTGATCACTCGTTCGAGAATTATAAGCGTGTACATATTTTTCACCGAATAAATAAAATTTATTTCCATTTTTGCATACATAGCTATCCCAAACTTTAAATTCTTCCAACAATGACACTTTGTCCATCTAAATAATAAAAAACTGTACAAAACATTGTAAAACCTTTTTAGACGTAAGAGCTTCGTGCAGGTTTAGCCCTTCTCTGTTCCAGATTGAGCAATTCGAAAGCTAGCAAAAGAAGATAGCTTAATTTATTATTTAGATATAATAAAAGAAGATAGCTTAGTTATTATTTCATTGTGCAGCGGCAATTATCTTCATACACAACTTGCTGAATACGGTAATGACCAAAACTATACTAAAGTCCTGTAGGTCACGCGTAACCTATCCTGACCTGCATGTTAGGTCAGGTTATAGGTTACGAAAATTTTTACAAAACAGATTACGCTGTCCGCAGGCTGTTTCCAGTTTGCAGAAAAATTACACTGTACATCATCTGTAAAGGGGATGAATAAGAGGCTTGAAAGATGATTTTTACTGAAGAAAAGTGATTTGATAACTCAAGAAGATGTGCTGCAAGAATTCGCGGATGAAGAAGAATCAAATTCTGATCAGAGATTTTAGAGATAAGTGATCTTTTGCTGTTCCTTCTTGATGCACAAATAGAGTAAATGAAAAGTAGGAGGAAAAATATTCGTACTAGAGTTTTGGAGCAATTTATTTCGCAAGTCTGGACATGTTACAAGTTATGAAAAATTTGTAACCTGCAGGACATTGAAGTCTACTACACGCTGTATCTCAGCAACTGTTGATTTACATTTAACATTCAACATTTACCAGTTACATTTAATATCTGAAGTCTTCTCCAAGAAAATAGTCATAATTCGATCTAAGACCATCACTTCCACTTGAAATATTTTTGAAAACATTCTGGTATTGAACAGTGATATTCATACAGAGTGGCAAAGATCAGAATTTGGGGCAGTGTAAATAGAGTAGAAGAAAAAGTCAATTGAGCTTAGAAGTTACAGAGTTACCTTTCTTTGTATAAGATGGCGGTCTTGATATCTATATATAAGAGTAATTATTGATGTCTTTAGCTCGACAATACCAACTCAAAATAATATACCATAAAGATATATGAAAGCAAGCGTGGATCATAGTGAGCATCCAAGTGGACATTTCGTTGAAAATTGAAAGGATTCGTTTTTCTGTTTCTATGAGTGGACTATCTAGTTTGATGTCTCTGCTATCTTTTCTGATTAAACGAATTTTTTTATCTCTCTCAAAACGATGAGAAAACGCCAATGAAAAGAAAAACAATATTAAAGTCAATTGAAACTTGAAAAATTAATTATTTTCTCAAATCGAAAGAGAGTTTAGATTCAAAATGATTTTAGAAATAAACAATTCTCGAAAAATAAGAAAATTTTTCTTAAGACTTCTAGGTTTCTTGCGTAAAATCCTTTCTTTTCATTTCAAAAGCATTTTTATTTAAAACAAAAATATGATATTTTGCAAGTTTCTAAATATCGAAATATTTTTACAAAAAAGTAGTTTTTTCTTCTCAGGATACCATTTTTCAGTTACAGAGAGGGTCATTGTAAGTTAAGAACAACCAGTTCTGATGATAAATTAATTTAAATTCACTTGCCTACTAACTTCAGAACTCTTAATTCGAAATAATTTTGTGATTTTTTTGCACTTTTTGATATTTTAGCAACATATATACAGAAAATTCTTTAACTTTATCTAATGTGACATTTTCAGATAATACAGAGAATTGAGTCTCACAAATAATTTAGATGATTAACCGACGTTTGAGCGCTCGACATTTGAGCGACCGACACTTGAGCGACCGACACTTGAGCGCCCCGACATTTGAGCGACCGACACCCGAGCGCCCCGACATTTGAGCGACCGACATTTGAGTAATAACGACCGTTCAGCACCAAGTGCTCACTCTCACCATTACCCCCACTCACCCACACCCACCCTTACCCTACACAGCCTCACAA